ATATATATATATATCACTGCTCTAATATTAGAAGTGACAGCTGTCATGACAAGGTGAGGTGCATCTTAAAGGAGCCTATAGTTGTTTCTTTCTTGACTGATTGAGAGTTTGAAAGAATCGTTCAGCAATGATCCAATGATTCACTCATAGACTGTTGCCACCTACTGGCGTAAAAAAAATAAAAATAAATCCCCACCACTAATTTACAGATTGACCATATACAAGACAGGGCATCTAGGCATTTATTTTACATTTACATAATTTTTAATTATAGCTTGGTAGAGATAAACACAACAAAATAAAGGAAAATCCAACTCAATAAAATTCTGAAAGAACAACCACAATTAAATTGACATTAATCTTTCCAAGGCTTTTCAAGAAAAACTTAAATGGGATTCTTCCTATTCAAAAAACTCAAATATTGTAAAAACAACTGCACTACACACACAAAATTAAAACAGATTGGGTCTGGTGATTTTATTTATTTATTTATTTTGTCATAATTAATCTGCAGGTTACAATATGTCCATAATAACCCCAAGCATATTTTTACTCAAGAAAGCAGTAAGGTTTGACCTGGGGTTTGAATTTATTGTGTTTTTTGGTACAAACATACATTTGACATCGAGAACAGAAAGAACATTTAAATAAGTAAAACTGAGGGGGGAAAAACAAACAGAAAAATAGTAATAGCTAATAATAATGTACATTTATAAAATGTTGCGTATAATCCGTCCTAAATTTGTTCTAAAATCATTTCTCAAAAGTGCGTAAGTGCGATTCAGAGAAACCGAACGTGCATAAAAACACGTGCATACGCCTCTTTTCCAGATGTGACATTTATAAATAGCAAATGATCTTGAAATTGTGCGCAGCTGACTGGTGTCAGATCTCCGAATTTTAAATGCCCCCTAATTAATATCACTACTATATAAAAGAGCACACGCCAATATCCGAATTTCTATGCTTGAGAATGACAAGCATGTTGCGTATAAACCGTCCTAAATTTGTTCTAAGATCATTTCTCAAAAGTGCGTGAGTGCGATTCTCTTCCAGATGTGACATTTATAAATCGCAAATGATCTTGAAATTGAGCGCAGTTGACTTGTGTCAGATCTCCTCCTTGTAAACGCCCCCTAATTAATATCATTACCATATAAAAGAGCACACGCCAATATCCGAATTTTTATGCTAGAAGCACAAGCAGAGAGCACGAGCACAAAGAAAAAAAACTTTACTGAGTCTGAAATTGAGGTCCTGCTGGCGGAGGTAGAGGTTCGTGCAGGGATGCTTTTTCTTTAACAATGTGTAATTATCATGTGGCTTTATTTTTTTTTATTGACTATTATCAAAATTACTACTTCTAGAAACAACAGAAATAATAATAATAATAATTATTATTTTTATTATAAAACAATTAGGTTTCCAAAAGTAAGAATAAACTTCGAATTCAAGTATTCAGAATTCAGAATCACAGAATCACAATTTTCAGTCATCTTACAAAAAGTGAGCATCCTACTTTTAAAATCACTTGCTATGACAACTAATAAAACGTTTACTATCACGAAATTCTTGCAAAACTTAAAAAAAAACATCATTGAACGAAAAATTGGATGTTTCATATCATAATAAAATAAATTATTACATGATTATGGTCTCCGGTGTGAAAAAAAACCTGCATGTGATTTGGCATTTCTTTATATTTACACAGTTTGCTAATGCTGCTCAAATGTGCCATTAATGTACTGACACAAAAATATATAGTGTATTTTATACAAATATAACATGTAAATGACAAAAACAAAGTTTAAGGCTGATGTCTCTATTCATTTTCACAGAAGCAAAGCAGCAGATGTTACACATAAAAACAGTTAACAATGTTATTGAATAGAATATATTAAAACCGTTGTTGCACGACATAGGCCTATTATTTTAGGGTACACAGACAAAACAGTCGGAGATGCATTTTTTTTCTATTTTACGCATTAGTAGTAAATCAAGACTTCGCAAGTTCTCTTGTAAAATAAAATAATAATTAAAAAAACAACATGGAATAAACTGTGTACAGAAAGCGAGTAAAGAACTCTCAACATTAGGCTACTAAAAATGTCAGTTTAATCTCGCAAAAACTACCGTTAATAAAAAATCTGACAACACTGCACAATTAATCTCTTACACTGCATCTTTGTTGTTTATGATGAATTCGGTGCTTGCATGTACACCACTTTTATTATTATTAGTGCAGCTTATATGTTCAGATAGCTGCAGTACACCGACTTTGCCACAAGAAAAAGTGCCTACGCCTGCTCAGACCCTGATGTGGCGGTAAGTACTTTTCCACGTCAAAGACCGTTTTTATAAATATGAACGTTGCCGTGGATTTTAGCGTACGCACACTCTAAGATCAAATCTGTGCATACGCACATTTTATAAATGAGGCCCCTGGTGTTTAGGTCAAGGGTCAGTGAATGCCATTATCCCACTTGTATGTCGTTAGAGTTTGAGAGCCCTCACAAGAGGCCAACGACCTTCATTGTCCACAATGCATGCCTCCAGTAAATGGAGCTTGGGTTTGCTCATTTTCATCACCGTCTCACATTCTGCATCCATAGTGTCAATCTGTGCAGGGTGCTCAGCCACTAATGAGCCCTGTTCTGTTGGGAGCTCTCCATTCTGCTAAACATTTATTTACACAAGCCATGAATGGAGGTTTTCAAACTGAGATGGCTGGTATAAATCAGACACTGATTATGGACTGTTGTGGTCCCTATATTATTAATATAGTGTTCGATACACTTATTTACTAATATAAATAATGAATTTGTAATTTATCAAATCAGCAGGATAATAACCCTTTGTCATCTGAAGAGTTTCTGACTTTCTTTCAGGTGCAAACAAGCCATGAATTGTGTGCAGGGTGATATTACTTTATCCCTTAAGAAGAAAAGTCTAAAGTTAGCAAAAGATGATTACCTACTCTGCGCTCCACAACATCCCATAAAGATTGGATTATTCTGGTGATTGAGTAGCACATTGAAGTTTCTTTAGTGGTACACTGAGGGATAAGTTCAACAGAATGCTTACTCTGCTTATTTCCATTCAACAACTGGGCCTTCATGTATAGGCTATATGCTGCTCATTATTTACTGCAATGTGACTCTTCATACCATGGCAGTCGATTGGCATTGGAAATGTATGTTGCACATATGATTTATCCTTGTCCAAACATAAACCTGAAAACAAGGTAAAATATGACTCAACGTATGCTTTTTAAATGGTAGTACTGCTGATGTTTAAAAAAGTTTGAACTCTATTAGTTCCGACTAATAAACAAAATGAGGAAGATTGAAACTAAAGTAAAGTAAAGAGAAAAGAAGGCAACTTTTATTTACACAGCACTGAGCTTGGCACAATTTCAAACTAAATGTTCCTGCAACATTGTCTCCTTTCCAAACAATGAGCATGTTTCTTTTGTCTGGCTACACAGAAGTGAATTACACAACAGTTCTTCCTAAATTTGTGGGTCATATTTCAAAACTCATGATGGGGGAGACAACAGTGTCTAGACTATTAGGCCAGAGGGAGTTGGAAATGGTCATGACTGAACCAGGTGCATTGTTTTGACCTGTACACATTCACAGAATATTGACATAAGATCGACAACTAGCAGGAGACGCGGCTGCCATACTGCACTTCTTTATGTGGAGGAGCAAGATTTATGACAGCTGCTTGTGAGCACATGATATGGAGATGCATGTGTGTGTACAAGTGAACAAATTGTTTTGGACTAAGCTACAAATGAACACAGTGCTGTATAAGAGTTATATCCAGCTTTCACTTGAGCATGTTACTGATTCTTTAGAATTTAAAATTACATACATGCATATTTATTTATTAAGTAGATTTTGTTTTTGTGAGCGTCAAAAACAAAAAAAGTGAAAACACTGTTTTTATCCATATTCCTATATGCCCAATTGTGCTTAAATTGCACAATAGTAGAAGATGAAATTGGATGACACAGTATCATTCATGTTAAATATTTTTGGTTTATAGTACTACTTTTAGTCTTGTGAGGGTATTTTGTGCAGGTAACTTGGTATATATATATATATGTGTGTATATATGTTAATAAAATTTATAGTCACCAAAATGCCATCCTGCAATGTTTGTCACTGTATTTTTTATGATCAAATTCTGGGTAACACTTTACTTGAAGGGGTGTGCATGAGACTGACATGGCACCTTCATAATCATGACATGACACATGTCATGAATATGAAGGAGGTTTTATGCATGTTTATGACAACTGTTATTAAGTGTCATTCGCTCAGTTATGTCATTTTTAATGCAAATATGACATTATTTGACCTAACCCTAACCTAACCCTACCCCTACCCTTACCCCTAACCATAGCCCATAACAAAGACATTTCAAACAATGTCATCTTTGCATTAAAAATTACATAACTGAGTGAATGACACTTAATTACAGTTGTCATAAATATGCATAAAAAACCTTCATATTCATGACATGTGTCATGTCATGATTATGTAGGTGTCATGTCATGATTATGAAGGTGTCATGTCAGTCTTATGCACACCCCTTCAAGTAAAGTGTAACCAAATTCTGCAATAATTGATAAATTTAAATGTATATAAAATTGAACTTAACATATACATTTAATTTAAATGTAATATATACTGTAGTCGTGCATCACATATTTTACCTCTCCTTATAATGTGTTTGCAGTTACTTATTATACAAGTATCATCTGACTGATATTTAATTCTAAAAATAGTTTCATTTAATTATTAATATTGCTTTCCTTCATCAGAAATCAAAGCCAACGCTTTACTTGCATCATCTCTCACCTTTAAATGCAGAAAAGTGATTTATTGATTGATTGCGTTGGAGGCAAGCACACCTCAGATATGAAGCAGTTTTCATACAGTACATTTGAAGATACCAGACGGAGTCGTGATGGCTATATAGTCAGTAAGGCTTGTGATTTAATGTATTTGCCAGCGAAGTGTGATTATACAATTCCCCATCAATCACATACATGCGGATAGACACACGAGAGCCCTTTATCTGCATGTTTTACACACCAACTATTTGTAGAAAGGCTTTTTTTGTGATGTCAGATATATGCTTTGACCATAAATGTAATGTATGCATTGAGTTTCAATCAATTCACACTTGTATTAATACACTCGGCGTTCCTGTTGAAATGCACTTATTTATTTATTTATTTTTTCAAATCGCATGTCTTAAGGGCTGTGACGTAGCGTATGTGCTCATAGTTCCTATAGTCTTGACGCAGTGTTTGTTGTGACAGTAATAGAAGAAGCTCGAGCGCACCGGCTGCACTGTTGCATGCACGTCGAGTAGTTAATTATTTTACCGCATTCAACTGCAGTTCCCCCTCCACACTCACTCACACACACTCACAACGAAAAAAAAGAAACCTTCACGCGAACAACACCTGTTCTTTGTGGAATACTTGAGCTTTTCTTTTTCTTTTCCCATCTGAAACAGGAATATCGTCTGTGAGGACTCTGGAAATGCCGTCTGTTTTAAATACATTTGGATGGAGAAAACGGAGTGTCTCTACGAAAGCGGCCGGTGTGGACAGAGAGGAGAAAACCATCCTGGAATGAAACCAATCTAAACACTTCGACGGCGATTTCTGTGGACATTTCCAACACTTGCCCTGTATATGTGGACTGTTTTTCCCCCGCGCGAGCGAGCGAGAGAGCGAGCATTCTCTCATTCGATGGATTTTTGCCTTTGCAGCTCAGCAGAGGGTGTTAGATCTGCCAGTGAACACCGGGCTGAAAAGTCCAGAATCTCACAGCATCCGTCTTTGTGATACAAATGCGTTGAACGAAGCCGGCGAAGTCTGAGGAAGGATGCTAAAGATGTAAGAATCTCGGATTAATTTTACTGCGATGCATATGAGATGTACGCAGTGTGATTTCAGCAACACGGGAGAAAGAACAGCTCCCGCGCCGTGGATATGTGAGAAATGCACAAGGTCAGTCATTTGCGAGTCCGAAAAGCCAAATAATTGAGTTGAAGATGTCATTCTGTAAGCTTTAAGATTGTTTTGAGAGCATGCGATGGGGAGGTGATGAAAAAAGGCTTCTTGCTGTCAGCTGTTTTCTCAATCTGGACATAGCCAGCTGAGCATGGATTTAATCACAGATTGTCCTCTGCTTTTTTAGACTGGATATATATCTAATTTCTCGCCCTCTTGCTGATTGTATTCATGTCTTGATGTCGGGGATGATTGTGTCGTATTAAAAATGCTGCTTTGGATTGTGTTGCTGAAGGCGGCTCTTTGTGTAGCTATCGGGAATGTTACAAGGGAAGTCTGTAAGGAGCAGATCTGCTCCTGCAATGCAATAGAAGGTGATTTGCACATTGACTGTGAGAAAAGGAGCCTCACGAACCTGCACCATTTGACAGGTCCGAGCTCCCAGTTTTACCATCTCCTGCTTCACGGGAATTCTTTATCCAGACTTTTCCCCAACGAGTTCGCTAACTTTTACAATGCCGTGAGCTTGCATTTGGAGAACAATGGCTTGCACGACATTGTGCCCGGTGCGTTCTTGGGACTGCAGCTTGTGAAACGGCTGCACATCAATAACAACAAGATCAGGTCTTTCAAAAAGAATACGTTTCTTGGTTTAGATGACCTGGAGTACCTTCAAGCTGACTTCAACCTTCTGAGGGACATCGACCCGTCCGTGTTCAGGGACTTAAGTAAGCTTGAAGTTTTAATATTAAACGATAACCTTATTAGCGCTCTTCACATCAACGTGTTTCAGAACGTGCCCATCACACACCTCGATCTGAGAGGGAACCGAATAAAAACATTGCCTTATGAAGGGATTCTAGAGCAGATACCTGGCATCGTGGAGGTTTTATTGGAGGACAACCCATGGGATTGCAACTGCGACCTGGTTTCCCTAAAGGAATGGCTAGAGAACATCCCGCAGAATGTGCTCATTGGAAGGGTCATTTGCGAGGCACCCACTCGGCTGCAAGGGAACGATTTGAATGAAACGGCAGAGACAGAGCTGTGCCCTTCAAAGAGTGGCATGGATTCCAGCCTGGTGGCGCCTCCCACCCAAGACGAGACTCCCGATCGCGGCCCCCATCCAACGCCCTATAAAACGAGTGGGGTGACGGAGTCCCATAGCTCTGGGGGAGGGCATAACAGGGGACGTCCAAAAGCCAGGGAGAATTGGCAGCTGAAAACGAAGCCCACAGCCATGGCGACAGGCATCAATGAAAGGGAGCCGCCGGCTAATTCGACCTGCCCTCAGTCCTGTAGTTGTAAGCTAATAGGAACTAGACAAGGGCTTGGGGTTAACTGTGAGGGCAGGAAAATAGAGAGCATGGCTAATCTCAAACCTAGACCCCTGAGTGCGCATGAGTTAAATCTGCGTGACAACAACATTCATACCGTCAAAAGGAACCAGCTCAGAGGATACCATTGCTTGAATTTGCTTGATTTTGGGGGGAATAACATTAAAATGATTGAAAATGGCACTTTTCACAATCTGACAGAGTTGAGGTGGCTCTACATGGACAAGAATTACTTGGATACATTAATGGCGGAAATGTTTATTGGACTTCAGAACCTGGAGTATCTCAGTTTGGAATATAATGACATCCAGCTCATAATGCCCGGCACCTTCAGCCCGATGCCCAACTTGAGGGTGCTCTTCCTCAACAACAACCTGCTCAAAGCTCTACCCGGGGATGCATTCTTTGGGGTGTCTTTGTCTAAAATAAGCTTGCATAACAATTATTTTACATATCTCCCTGTGACAGGTGTCTTAGACCAGCTCAACTCCATTATCCAGATTGATTTGCATGGGAACCCCTGGGATTGCTCATGCAACATTGTTCCCTTAAAACAGTGGACAGACAAGCTTGGGGCAGACGTCATTGTGAGCAATCTCAAATGCGAATCTCCCGAGGAGTTCTGGAAGAGGGATTTCCGGCGAATCAGGAATGATCTGATGTGTCCTCAACTCTATGAGAAGATCTCCCCCACCTCCCTGTCCAAAAACAGCACTTTCCCGGCAGACACAGGGACACGACCCAACACCTACCTGGAGCCTAGCAGAGTGTCCATTTCAGTGCTCGTGCCTGGACTGCTCTTGGTTTTCGTGACGTCTGCCTTCACCGTGGTGGGAATGCTGGTCTTTATCCTGCGTAATCGAAAGAGATCGAAGCGGAGAGACGGCAACTCTTCTGCGTCAGAAATCAATTCTTTACAGACAGTATGTGACTCGTCCTACTGGCACAGCGGAGCTTATCATGCAGATGGGCCACACAGAGGTTACGACTGTGGTTCCCACTCTCTCTCTGACAAATGATGATCATGGAGTCATGAAAGAGCAAACGGATGTGTTTCATATGTTGCAGTGACATTGGAGCACGACACACAAACATTAGACCTCAGACTCGCCCTGTAGGGGATAAAATAGCCTATTTTTGTTGCTTCAGTTGAGTATAGCATCGATGAAACACTGCAATGGGGCCCCCACTGTTATATATGTATAGAACCTCTCTCTCTTTCTTTCTCCTCCCAGCTCAGACTGCAAACACGCTCAAAAGAGGATGTGGGAACGGTGCACGAACGCATGAATGTAATGTAAATAATGGACTGTAACATCTGCATGATTCGCATGGTCTCAACACACTGGGAACCATTACCATAGTAACAAGGAAGCCAACGTGACCCTTCTTTCGTGTTATCAATATATATATATATATATATATATATATATATTATGACTATATTAAAAGTGCTATTTCTTCAATTTTTTGTCAGTTAGAATTTGTATTTGCTGTTTGATTTCTCTTTCTCAAAGGTGGACAGGCCAAAAGGTGGAGATAACGAGTTGTAAATGCATGTACTTTCTGTTTTATCAGTTGATTGTTGATTGGTTGATATGGGGATTATTTATATGCAGATTTCTCATGTATCTGCCCAGTCATCTCCTTTATGAATGTAAAAATGTGTTTATCTTATAGTGTGCCAACTGTTGACATGTTTGGGATGCGGATAAGCATGACGTGCTTATGCTGCGAAAATTCAATGTATCTCCAGTGATCTTGTGTGTCGATGGATACAACATAAGGGTACAAGGACGACGCAAGGGGAGGATTTTTTTTTTGTTATTTTTGAAAAGAAATGTTTGAAGGGAGTTGCAGATTTGGATACGCCTAGAGAGTGCACATAGACTAAGATGCCTTTATTTTTATTTATTATCATTATTAATAATAATAATAATTATTATTATTCTTTTTATGGGATGAAGTATTCCTTCGCAAAAGCCTATTATTCACTGCAAGTATTGTGAGCTTTTGTAAAGCCATCTATTTTGTCCAAATATGAGAAAGGAATATTACGCTGTTTGCTACTTCGATACGTCCTATAAAGTGGATGAAAAGGTGTAAATATATACCAGAAGCAGACAGAGGCATGTCTGTGCATTTGACTGAAGTTATCACAGCAGCCGTAGATTGAATAGCTGCCTCTAGATGTCGCTGTTGCCTCTCAAGCATATGAAACCATGCTGGGAGCTGAAGTTCACCGGTATGTGTAGAAGAACCAGCATTCACATTATCAATATAACTAGGCCTAAGCGTGTCACTGTGATGGCTAATACTCAGAGAGAAGGGCGGTATCAAATTCAGTAGTGAAGAACATGAGTTGAATGCTGTTTCCAAAATGCCATTTTTACAAACAAGATGTAGAGCGCAGTGCCATGCATCTTACTGCTAGCATTTAAATGTCACTGCTGATGTTTTTCAGGTTGAGTTTGTATTACCGTAATGATTTTACAACAAAACAACATAAATAAAGAATGGCTAAAAGCTGAAATAAGGTAACCAGCCATCCATTTCCATAGTCCGAGTACCATCTAGACATTGTAGCTTACATTTTTATCCTTGTTTTCCTTAATGTTAAAGCGCTTGGTCCTAACTAGAGTTTATTAAATGCACCAGGAGATGCTTTTCTCTCTTACCTTTCAATTTGATTTAGGTTTCACAAAAACAAAGTCGGTTGAATTGCTGTCCAGCAGAACGTCCCAACATGGTTCCTGTCATATTGCAATGGTTTTACTCTAATGTAGATTCAGAACCTTCAGAGGGATGTGTGTTGTGACTCCCGCTGCACATACGCACAGAAACCCCCCCCCAAAAAAGAATGCATCCGTTCTCCCCCCAACTGACCGAAATTGAAGGGTGACCTTCTGATCTATTAGATCTGTTATACAGGTTCTGGCTGTCCATCAAGGCATCTCCTTCTCTCTCTCGTCATGCGTGGAAGGGAAATTATTTGTCGCTCCACTGTGAAAGACTGTACATGTGAAAGCACATTCTGGCTTATCTATTATTTGGTGAATTTTCCCAACAGTTTGTCTCAGAGTTACATTTCTATGCTTTGCTACATTTGATCTGCTTCTATTTTGTTAAATAAAATGTGGTGGAGGTTGAGTGAAGTTACAGTGGGTATATATATTATATATATATATATATATATATATATATATATATTTGTTTTTTTTGTGAATGTAAAGATGTCCTCTTTTTACAAACCTATATGTGATGGTCACATTTTGGTTACGAAATTCTCAGTATTATGCCGTTCAGTGCATTACTGTGAACATAATAAGCACTGGTCAATGCGGTTTATATGAAACGCTAATGCTTTACAGGCTTTTAAAAATGAAAGGCACTTAATGGTATCAAATGAATACATACTCACACAGGGAAAAGATATTGAATGGATTCTGTCTAGCTCTCAAAAGGTCAGCAGAATATAGGTTGTTAATTCCTGTTACGCAGGATGTCAAAAATGTTTCTATAAAATCGTGTACTAGACTTTCAGAAATATGTTGGACTCTTAAATTCCTGTTGCTTAAACAGCTGAGCATAGTGTTAGAAACACCAAGGTTTTGAATTTGATTTCTAGGGAATGCATGAATAGATAATGTATACTGTACCTTGAACACATTAATACAAGTTAAGTCACTTTGGTTAAAACTGTCTGCTATATGTTTTTTTTAATGAGAGCATATATATATGTTTATTTTTTTTTTACTTGATTATTTACAGATAGTTAAGAAAAAAATTGGTTGTCTAAAAGGCACTGATTTAGTTAAGTAAGGGTTTGACAGTTAGCTTACATGTTTAATTATTATTATTATTTATTTTTTTATTTTTTATTTTTTTTGATGGAGACATGAAAATGCATAGCAGGAATGACCCATGTGAGTTAAACCCTAGTGAAATATTACATGGAAGAATTTAAGGTCTTTCAGGCTTTCAATAAGTGTTTAAGGTTTATTTACGGGTGGGTGTTAAAAAAATGCAAAAAAATAAATAAATAAATTCTTAAGTGTAACTGTTGTGCATGGGAACATTCAAACTGGCATGTCAGAGACAGTGTTGCAGTGTTGTTTTGCATATTTGTTTGATGCGAAATTTAGGTCACATTCTTAAGGCAATGTTTTCATCATCTCTGTTTGGAAAAAGACTCACTGAAACAAACCTAAAAGGGAAGATGCTCAATGTAATTTTAAAATTGTGTTTAGTACATGTGTTTTTTGAGGCAACAACCCTGATTTTCCTGGTTTCACACTGTAGATCACTGTTATGAAGCGAATCAAACCAAAGAAATATATTCCAGTTTAAATACTAACACTAGAACCACCAGGGGTCGCTGTAAGCTATACCTAAAAGCGCCAGCGGGTAAATTTTACCCATGCACATGACAGCTGTTTTTGTATTGCTAAAGAACATATTATTTCACTGTATTATGCTACTGTCTTCACAAAGAAGTGTCTAGAGTCAGGAAATTATTATGTCTAGTCATCAACGTTTTTGTCCTGTTGTTTTATGTTCAAGTCTTTTGTATGCAGGCTATACTAGTCACTTTTTTTATAATGGTCAATTTTAAGCTAAACAAGCCTGCACTGACAACGAGAATTAGAAGGAAGTAAATACATATTTGGGTGGTGTAATAGGCTATTATAATACAATGTAATTAATCAATATATTAAGATAACCTATGCTATTTAAATTAAAATAGCCTATAGACAATAATGAGCAATAATAGGCCTAATTCACCACATCGCATAGGATGATGCTTTGATGCTTAGGATTTGTTTAGTTATATCATTTATAATTTGAATTATACAAGAAGAACACCAATAAACTTTGGGTAATCAAAAAATAAAATAAATTTTTTTTATTCATTACATCAGATCAGATTTTTTTCTTCTTCAGGAAACAACTAGAATAAATAGCAACACAGAAGCGAACAATGAACTATATACATGGCAAAACAAAAATAAATAAATAATTAATCCAAATTTTGAACAATTAGGAGTAACATTAGAATAAAACGTCTAACTGTGATTTATTGATCGCCGTCAGATACTGATCTGACAGGACGCTTTATTTATCTCCCCACCATCAGACTCTGCATCGCTCATGGCATTTAGTGCTAGCATTGTACTATGTTAAAACATAAGCAGCACGAAAATGACAGCGTGAACATACAGGCATGATATAGTGGGAGCATTTGACCCGCGCTGGCACTTATAGGTATAAATGCCCCGTTTTTTGATCTGGTTTTATCTAAACAGTTTTTAACAACAGGGTATTGTAAATCACACACCTTTAGTATAAATCAGTGACTGGGAGACTTATTAAAAATTGTTTTATTAAAAATATTGTATGTATGTTTTAAAAACAGCCATGGGTAAAATTTACCCCGTGGCAGTTCTAGGGTTAAGCTTTAATGTAGGCTTAACTATCCATTGTAAATGTATTTTTGTTTGTTTTACAAGCTGAGTAAAAATTACTGTGGTAATGCCGTAGATGCTGTCTAATACAGTAAGCAATGTATTTAACTCAGAATATTCCTTAAAAGGAAAAGTTCACCCAACAATGAACATTTGCTGAAAATGTACTCCCCTTCAAATGTAGATGAGTTTGTTTCTCCATGGGAACAGATTTGGATAAATGTATCATTACATCACTTGCTCACCATCCTCTGTAGTGAATGGTTGCCGTCAGAATGAATCCAAACTGCTGATAAAAAACATCACAATAATCCACAAGTAATGTACACAACTCCAGTTCATCAAAATTAACGTTTTGTGAAGTGAATAGCTGCATGCTTGTAATAAACAAGTTCATTATTAAGATGTGTTTTACCTGTTTGGACTTTCATTCTGACTGCACCCATTCACTGCAGAGGATCCATTGGTGAACAAAAGATGTAATTCTAAATTTCTTCAAATCTTTTCCGAATGAAGAAACAAACTCATCTCTTGGATGGCCTGAGGGTGAGAAAATTTTCATTTAGGGTGAACTATTTCTTTCAATTCAAAACATTCAGACAGTTAAAATCTGCAAAAAGCTTCCTCTTCCTAATTATGATGTTAGATCATTTCAGAGTGCAGAGATCTGATTTTCAATATGCAAATTTCCACAGCTGTATGCACATCTGCACTCAAATTCTTGGAAATTCTCTGAAATGATGTAATCTTGCCAAGAATTACTTGGATAAAGATATTCACTACAGTATGATCCTCAAGACTGGTTGAATGGTGTTCTTGCCAAGCTGGTTAATCAACACTAGTCCTCTTTGTTCTCTCGAGGGATGGCAGTTGGCTAAACAACGCTGGTCTCTGTGGTTTCACGATTTTCCCATCCTATCACCTCCTTTGAGAACGTGAACCCCTAATTCCCTCGTGTTGCCCATAATTTCCTTTCAGTCATGTCCTCCTCTCGTGCATCCTTTAACAGGTTTTGTGTCCGTGTTCCACTCTCGTTCACTTTGTTCAATGGCAAGGGAGCTTTGTAGCCCCCTTCCTTCACCTGGGAAGAAATAATTGGTGCGTAATGTGGTGAATAAATGTGTTAAATTAAAGAAGCATGGCCTACATGCTAGTGCGGGGAATTTAGAACTCAAGGAGGTGCTGTGATGCTTTTTAGTCCTCCTTTAATTTTCAGAAACACACTTGGCAGCGGCCCAGAGGTAACTCGGTGCACGCTAGCACCGTTTCTGCTTCTGAGTTTTTTGAATTAGCAGAGCTGGTCAAAGTTGGTGTCTCAAGTAGGCCAAGGTTGTTATACTCAACTGAATTTGCAGTACATCAAAGAGATATTAGCTTAACATCCTTTTATTTGATTGAACTGATAATGAAAGATAATAATAATAATAGGGGGTATTTTGTGCAGTCTGTTTCTATTTTTAATATTTGATTTTGGTGACTGATTTGAGTGACTGATTTAATTGTTTGCTTTTTATTTCAGATGTCTGTTTAAGTTTTTGTAGAAATTGTACAGTAGACCAAAAAGTACGCTTAAGCCTTAAAATGCTCAAAAATGTATACATGTCTTTGCACAAGTAAAAAATATCAAACCGAGTGTCATTTATTTGACAGATGGCACAAGCACACTTTTCAAACAAAACATTTCACTACAAAAAAGGAAAAAAATAGATATACCGTCTACAGTCAACACCGAGTAGGCCTATTTGGACATTTTGTGGTTGTCAAACAATTTGTTTGAAGATGCCACATAAATGCATAATGTGCATTGATTTGAACTTTCTATTCATCAGATAATCCTGATGAAAATTAATCACAGTTTCCACAAAAATATTAAGCAGCACAACTATTTTCAACATTGATAATAATAAGAAATGAGCAGCAAAACAGCAGATTAGAATGATTTCTGAAGGATCATGTAACATGGAAGACTGGAGTAAAGATGCCTGAAAACTCAGCTTTGCATTACAGGTATAAATTACATTTTATTATTTTAAATTGTAATAATTAAAAATGTATTTTTTGATCATATACATGTATCCTTCTTTCAAAAACATAAAAAAATGTTACCAATGTACTGTATATTATTATTATTATTATTATTATTAATAATAATAATAATACTACTACTAATAATAATAATATAAAGTATACATATATATATATATATATATATATATATATATATGTGTGTGTATATATATACCCAGTTTCTATTTTCGAGCAATATGTGTCCTCTGTGCTTTCTAATGTGTTTTTATTTATTTATTTTTTCTCCACCCACGAGGGACTGTCCATGAATCTCATGTCATTGAAGGTATCCAGGAATCTGCTCTCAGAAAGAATACCTGATCCAAGGACGCTCTCCACCGCTCGGACAGACAGATGGTGAATCAGACTGACAAACTCATGCGCTGCTCCGAGATGTGTTTGTTCCCTTTCTGCTCAGATTGAAGGCCTCGTTGATTGATGTCTGCTGTTTTCCCCTCTTTCCCATCCTCAGCTTTAATGGGATTTAAGGGATTTGGGTTTGGTCCTTGATGGCCAATGGATCAATAAATTGTTCAGCAAGGACAAATTGATTGGTTCTTTGGAATTCTGCTGCTTCTTTGCCCACAAATATGTGAGCTGTGTAGGTATTGTTCTTTATTAGAGTATATGATGGTTATACGGAAAATCAGAACTAAACCTTTGTGGACACGATGTTGAGATGCTTTGATTCTGAAGGTCTGGGCTTATATTGATTTGTTTGTTTGGTTTTTAGATGCATTATTTGTGGTAGGGCGATACTCACATCTGTTCCTAGGCAGTATGGGAGTTTTTGTTATTCTTCGAACATTTTTCTTCCGCAATTAAGCCCCGTTCCCTTCCCTGAGTCACTGACCTGGTCCTCTCAAGGACGTTCCTGCCTCTGAAATCTTCAAGATGCACCATTTTGTTTCGCGGTGAATGTCAGAATCATTACTACCTGCTGCTTTTTTGAGGTTTCAGCCTGCTTTTCCCTGCAAAGGAAAACTGCTGTGAGCTGTTGTCTGTGGACAAAAAAGCATCTTTATTTCACAGGGGCGAGGCACAGAACTTAGATAACAGAAGCATCAGATTCTGTGTGAGAGTGAGGAATTACTGAGTCACTGGCTGAGGTGATGAAGGTGGGTTATTAATGAAAGAGCTGTATATGAAGATCATAGTAGGGCAGATCATTACATCGAGACTCATTTATGATGTTGGCAGTGTGTGTGGTGGCTGGTGCTGTTAAAGCTGGTTAGGCTTGCTTATATTGCAGGCTAGAGGTCACAGCTATTGGGACCAGTGAAGATGAAGCTGTAAAAATGAGGTAAACGTACCTAATTACATTACTAAATTTTTACATTTTTAGAAGATTTTGACAGTGCTTACCTGTGCAAAACGCACTTATGTTATTCTAGGGAGTTGCCAGACTGTTGCTATGCAAATGCAGATGTTCTAAGGTTTTTTTTGTTTGTTTGTTTTTTGCACATTGCTTTGCATTTCTATGGGTGTGATAGGCGATGTGGCTTTTAGGGGGTTCAGGGTGGTTGATTACAATGAATGTTAAGTCTGCCAGGTGTAGATTGTAAGTCTGATCATGCAGAAACATAAAAAATAATGGCAATTGTATTTGGTATGAGCAAGTATTTGCAAGTATGAGTGGCTGATCTTATCAACCACTGACCGTGTTTACATGCACATATCTCCACGGCTATTAAAATTTCACACTTATATGCACCATCATTTTTGTCTGATGTCTAATAAAAATAATAATGTTCAAAAAGTTGAGATACGTTTTTTTTTTATGTTTTAGAAAGTCTCTTATGCTCACCATGACT